TTCATATAATTTATGAAGCATTAGTTTTAAAATAGTAATATTTTCTCTATAACTAGTAATGCAGGCAGGTCAGTTTAATCTGGTTTTCATAGTTGAATTGATTTATTAAGTTTATGTTATCAGCTTCATCAAGAAATGTACAGTACAATACAATGCTGTGAATTGTTTTTAAAGGCTGTCTGAAACTTTGCTTTAAATTTATACCAGTTTAAGTCAAGTTCAAATTTACACCATTAAAACAGTCAAACAATTTATCCATAAATTCTACAAAATTAGCAATATTAGCAATATAATTTTAAGATTTATTAATTATATTTATTATTACTATCAATTAGTGCTGCAGATATTGATTGATTGATAAATTTTTAATTTTATTAAAATAAAATTATTTTGCTAGCAGTTACCTCAAACTGTACAAGAAGTACAAATACACCACCACAACACCTTGATCCAGCCAAGCACCAGGTTACTTTTCTAGATAAACTAACATTTTCTATCTTCTAAGATCTTTATTAGATATTATACTGATTTGAAAATGGAAATTTCTAAGGAACGAGATGTAATTCAAACTTGAAAGTATCAGTCAGATGTGTGTAGATATTTGACATAATCAAATCATAAATATTTATCATAATGTGCTTGCCAGGCATGAGAAATACATGTCTCTTCATGAAAATTAAGGTAATGTACACATTGGTCAGCTTTAAAAATCTTCAGGGCTTTCAATTCTCTGAGTTCAATATGAATAGCATATTTTATCATATAGGCCTGATATAATTTTTCTATAACATTGTTTTCAGATGTATACGTGGATAGGACCTTCAATCTGTTCTTGTGAACTATGTCATATCTATGTTCTGCCATCCATTTTTTTCAGTGACCCTTTTCGTAGACCAACTTGTTCTTTGGATGGTTCCAATTTCAAATTAGTGTAATACTTGATGATATTAGCAGAAAATCGAAAACATTAGTTTTTAAAGAAAAGTAATCTGGTGCTAGAGTGGATGAAGGTATTGTGGTGGTGTATTTTTAAAATAATTTTGTTTGATTAAATCTTGATTTTTTTACATATTTTAATGTTACTAATGTTGGAATACAGCAAATAAAAAAAACCTGTAAAAAACAAAAAGTTTAAAAGTTAATTTATGAATTTTATACATTATATAAGGTCTTATCAAAAAGTATCTAACCTTATTTTTTTCTTTGCAAGTATTTGCAAGCTGGGGAGAGAGAGTTTGTGATCTTGGATCTTACTGCATATATGTGAATTATGGCAAGTTTGTCCTACTCTGCAGTCACTGTCAGGCAGCTGTTATACTTGCATGTTTACACTGTTGTTGTTGTGTAGTGATTAAGTGAAAATGGTAGAATGTGATGGATCCTGATTTCATGAAGATTATAACTAGAGATGAGATCTGAATCTACAGGTATGACCCTGAGATAGATACAGGTACACCTCGACTTACGTCGTTTGTCAAAAAAGTATATGGAAAAATAAAAATCAAGTTTAAGTCATTTTATTCGACTTTACGTCTGTCCACCACAAATATTGAAGTCGTAATATCAGTAGAAAAGCGTTTAAAGCACATAAAATCATATTAAAATATATACATTTACAAGTATTTACTGTATTTAAAGTACATGCATTCGTAAATTTAGATTACTTTTTTCTGTACTATATTAAAAACTAAAATTTATTTGTTTGTAAGCTTAAAATAGATCCTTATTAACCATATATTATTAGAAATGCATTGATAAATAAAATACAGAACCGGGAATGGTAATTTATGGTTTAGCCTAGTGACAAGTAGATTCGGAGACAAGTAAATTCGACTTATGTCGTCTCTCCTGGAACCAATTACCGACGTAAGGCGAGGTATACCTGTACAATCATCCCAATGAAAAGTGTCATGGTCTCTGCAGCTAAAGAAGGCACAACAATCACTGAGCAATATGAAGGTCATGTTGACTATTTTTTTCAACCATCAGGGTGTAGTAAATCATCATAAGGACACCCTTCATTGACAAACTGTGATAAAGGTGTACTATCTGATTGTTTTGCGTAAAACGGAATACTCCTTTATCATATGAGATGCTGTTAAGTTCATGAACCCATAACTCTGGCAATCTAGTGACTGGTTCATTCATCATAATAATGCTTTGGTCCACAGATTGTATCTCATCCAGATATTTTTTGCATCTGTATTACACAGGTTCAGCAGCCTTTTTATCAGATGTAATGGAGTCAGTAAACAAATAGTCCAACTCTAACTCTAGCAAATTTGAAATGTGTGACTCTGACTTAACTTTTCTCTTTTTGTCAGACTATGATTTCTTTTATAAGAAAGACACTGCTGGGTATCTGAATAGTTTTATCCAAAATTTATAAAAAGTTGTACTAAAATTTATGATGAGAATAAAAAAAAATGTGGATGTAGCAAATTTACCATGGAAAGCTTTTGAGTACATAAAGAAACATACTATATCTTAACAGACAAAAGAATTCCATTTTTATTAGTTAAATTTAAATAAATTTTTGATAATCATTTTAAAGAAAAAAAATCAAATACAATAAAATGCAAAAAACAATGATTTGGTGATGGCTATTATGAGAACAGTTAATTTCCTACTGATGATTGACTAAATTCAATTATATAGTAGAATTTTAAAAACAACCAAACGATTGCCTTAAATAATTTGGCTATAACTCCACTAATTTAATGATTAATATCAAGTAGTTTGTTACTAGAGGTTGACTTTAGGCACCATCTCTTAATTAAATTAATAATTATAATTTTAATAATTTATTAAATTATTAAAATTATAATTATTAACAGAATATAGCTAAATTTTCAGCCCTTTTGGTTTTTAACGGTTGTAGTTGAACAAATTTAGTCAAGTGGTCTTGGTACATGAGTATAGATTTACATTGCTCATCAACTTGTGACTGCATATCTATAAGGTTGACCTCACATCTTGAGTTATTTCATTACTTAAAATTGGTTTAACTATCAAGCCTTTCTTAGGAACATTCTGTTTTTTTCTGACAGATTTCACATAAGTTCAAGTAAATTATGATCGTATCTCATATCCTTTGTAATATTTTTATATTTCATACTTAATTCTTTTGCCATATGGTTTCTGTCACCATGGTCAATAGTAATATGGTTATCATGCAATATCTGAAATATTTTCTTCAGTGTGAACATAATAATTAATCAAATTACCTTCTTTTGCAGACACAATTAATTTTTTTATTTCTATGATGGATACAGCATCATATCTATGTAAATGCTGATATTCTTCTGGTAACTTCAAAGTCACTTTGATTTTTGACGCACTCAGTTTTTGTGTTGTTGTCAAATATGCTGATTTTATAAAAAATTTTGCTGTTTTGACTTTTTGCTGCTATTAACTCATTTAATCAGTTGTTGAAACAGTTATTCATATCACTTAATGATTGCTCCATGGTCATTACTTTTTTTCAAAAAAGAAAATACTGTTTTAAGAGGCAAAAGTAAAATTAAAATGTCGCACAAGATTAACTACTGGTTGTATGAATTTAAAATTTGATACTAAATTTAATACTCATGCACAAGTAAGATGTGAATGGTGATTGGCTAGCATATGTCAGATGATCACTCCTCAAGGTATTATTATCACTTTGCCCATCCAGGTGATAGCAGTATTCATAGTGACTGGTCAATATGATAAATTATGATAAAAAACCTGAAATTTATTACAGTGCCCGATTTTGGTGTCATTATTTATAATGACTGGGCATTATGAATAATGCCCTTATTAATTACTTAGTCCATAACATATATATAAAAGCTTATCAAAAGAAAGTAAGAGAAACAAAAATATATATTTTTTAATAACACCAGAAGAAAATGTATTTACTTAGTTTAAAAGTTCTTGAAAGTGCATATACATTTCTGCATATACACTGTTTTTTTTGGACACACAATTCAAATTACCTTATCATAAATTTAATTTCCTTATGTCTTTCATACAGAAAGAGATAAGGAAAATAAGGATCCATTAATCTCCAAAAAAATCCAAGAACAACAAATGTACTGGGAAGCCTGTTACCAGTGTGCTTCTCAGAAAAAACAGAGCATTACGAACATTTTCAAACTTTGAAGTTCTTCAGGTAACTAATGACTGTTAAACAAATGTGATTCAAATTAAAGTCAACGCTCTGTTTTTTCCAAAAAGCACACCGATAACAGGATCCCTGGTATGTTTGTTGTAGTATCACTCTTGTTTTTAAATCCCAAGAATTTACCAATTCTAAATTTGTGACCACTCCTCTCAGAAGAACAGTCAATTTTTCATTGCATATTTCCGTTTTAAAACCTTATGATTTTACCATGTCTCTAAAAACAGATGATCTTTGTCATGCATTTCTATGACAACCAATCTAACAAAAACAAAAATAATAAAAATAAGTAAATTAAACTTTGTTTTTACATTAATTACAAGAATTTATTAGAACTTGATGTTTGGAACCCATTTGGGATCTGAACATCAAATATGTAAATTAACTCTAAAGCATTGAATGATGATGTAAGGACAGTGTATTGCAAGTTGGAATATGTTGCATTGCCAATGCCTTCAGTCTTGTCAGATATTGATTATGATGCTAATATGATAGTATTGACATTCATAATGAAATTAATAAAATTATGTTTAAAAGCAATGTAATGTTTGTAAATTTATGAGAATTCATCCCCAAGTTCATATCTATTTCTGTGAGAAATCTAGTTTTGAATTATGCAAAGTCTTCAGGATTACATCTTCCACATAAAATAAGACAATATTGTATTTATTATTTTTTCCTATCTATCTGTTATTTCTGTTTCATTTCATCCATAAATCAACAATTTTTATTAAATTACATATGTAATATCATTAAATTCTTTATTTACAAATTATTATTGTTATTTATGTTTATTGTTAACAATATTATTGAAATATTTTATTATAAATTTCAGTTAGATACATTACAAAATCAAATGGCTTCTAAAGGAGGTTATGAATATGCTCTACCAGTTAGTGTTCAAATTCCAGTTGTGGATGTAAAAAATTAGGTAAGTTTTAATATGCTTCTGCATTTAGATTTAGTGTATTTTTTAAAAATTATTTTAAAAATAAAAAAACAGATTTTTTTAATATCAACGTGTGCTTGTTGGCACAAATTTGTAATTGTGTAAATAATGTGATATCCAAGTTATCAATCTAAAAATGAAATATTTATTTAACTAAGAGTTTATGAAAATTCAAATTTTCATTCTTTCTGTATCTCTTCTCTTTTGAGGGGATATACTGTGCAGTATTAAAAATATTTTGTTTTTTGTTAATCTAATCCCTCTTACTTTGTAAACAAACACACTTATCATATATGCCGCTTACTTGCCAAATTGATTAACTCCATAAAACAAAAAGTGGAGAAAAGTAACAAAGTAATATACATTCTTTTTTAAAATTCCTTTTAAAATATAAATTCAAATAAACATTGTAGAATGTATTATTGTGGGTGTAACTTTTATTTAACGACATATAAAATGTATAAAATAGCATAGATATGCTATAATCATTATTATTATTATTAAGATTTTGGTGTGATTGATGGAGTTAATCAGTTTGACAAATGAAAAATGTAGTAACATTCAGTTCAGTCAGATTCAGTCAGTTTTCATGTAGTTTTTTTTATTATAGAGAAACATCATTATTGTACATGTTTTATTAAATATTTTTTGCAAAAATGAATAATAACTGTTCTGTTACTGTTACAATGGTGGTTGTTATTATTTTGTTTAAATTGATTATTCAGCAACATAAATGATGTCTTCTTCGTCAGCTGTATTTGAGGTCCTATCATGTTGATTTGTTCTTAAATTTTTATGAGAATCATGTTTAATAGGAGGAATGAAAAAAATTATTTTTAGTTTCATCCCTCATGATATAACAGTATGACTTTGTTTTAATTGTGGTGGCAATTGTTTTTAGAAAAAAATCATTTAATATTCCTCAAGTATACTTATTTCTGCAGCAGTTGGACTGTAACTAACTAATTTCTTTTACTTACTTTTTGTGATGATAACATTAAATAAGTTATTATTAGGCATTGGTCAGTGCACACTGCAATTGTAATGCTGCAGTGTGTACTGGCAGATTTATGTTACAGTATGGAGTTAATTAGATTGACTTCTGAAATAAATAAATAAATTTTTCAATGGCCAATAAAATTTTGTCATTGAGTGGTAATCCTTATTATTGGGGAAACTTATTATGAATATAAATAGTCACGAGTATATCAAGTGTTTTGACATTTAATAATTTAAAAATATTTGAAATATGGAGTATATCGATTTGGCTTCTGAATGGCTCATATAATGTGATAAGTGTATATGAGATGCATTCCATTTTCCAAATGCATTTTTTGAAAAACTATTAATGCATTTCTAATCTATTTTATTGAAAAATGAAGTACTGTATTTTTCATATGGTTGGTATGATAAAATGTATTTAGTTACAAAAACAAAGAATATTCAAATACAAACAACAGTAACAATGCAACAACTATTGCATTGTTGCTGTTGTTGTTGCATTATACATTTCCTAAATGAAAGTGTTATATATATACAGTGGTGCATCATATAACGTGCATCATTCCAGGTACACGTCCGTTAAAAGTCCATTATACAAAATGCATTTTCCCATAGAAATACATGTTAAAACATATAATTCGTTCCGCAGCATAAAATAATTATACCGTTAAAAAAATGAAAGTGGAGCAATCACCAATTATGCCAGGTAGTCAGATGTTGTGAGGAGGTGGAGGAACACTTTTTTCACACATTCATACAGATACAGACTTTTTACACATTTCAGCAGGTCTCTTTTTATTGTTTTTTAATCAGAGTCAGATTTAGGAGAGGCTACCAGAGCTTGCGGGGTCAACTCCTCTTGTTTCATCCTTTGTTTTTTTACAGCTGGCTTCTTGAAAAACATGTCCAAGGTGGTCTGTTTCTCTCTCTTCTTCAACATTCTTGTCCGAAATGACGGGCAAGGGTGTCATTGTAGAGATCATTGATCTTGTTGGCCTCAGCTCTGTTTGGATAATGAGTGTTGGTAAACTCCCTGAACCTCTCTCCATTTGACAAGGAAGTTTTTGTCAACTTTCACTCCTTCTGATGATTTCTTGCTTTGTTTCAATTGAAATAACCTTTCTGGTTGTTTTGAAGCCATGATTTGCACAATACATGAATAAATATAAATACCCTGCACCTCAGTGCAGGGTATTTATGGTTTATTAAACTGAGGTGCAGGGTTTAATAAACACGGCTTGCTCCCTTGTTTATTACTGTACGTAATAAACAAGGGAGCAAGCTGAATCCCAACAGGTGCTCTGTACTTCAGATATACTAATAATATATTCTAATAATAGTAATATATTATAAAAATAGCAGATTGTCATTGGCAATGGCAAAAGAGTGGAAACATAATTCGCACTTGTTCGCAGAAAGTCTGTTGTTCGCAGCCAGTCCATTGCTTGAGTCACATAATGGCCAAACAGAAAGTCCGTTGTTCGCAGTGTCCGTTATTCGAGGTGTACGTTATATGAGGCACCACTGTATATATATATTGATATATTAGGGGGCAGTCAAATGAAAACGAGACAGATGTTAAAAAAGTAAGTAAACTGTTTATTATTTCAAAAGTAATTGCCATAACTGTTAATACATTTATCTTATTGTGAGACAAGACGGTCAATGCCTTCATAGAAAAATGTTTGCAGTTGCCTACGGAACCATGATTGTACCCAGGAATGCACCTTTTCATCCAAAGCAAATTGACGGCCACGAATGTCTTTCTTCGAGGCTCCAAAAATATGGAAATCGCACAGGGAGAAATCGAGACTGTATGGAGGATGTGTATGGACTACGCTGCAGAAGTTTCGCTGGGAACTTCTGCAGCGTAGTCAAAACAACCTTGGTAACATGTGGGTGGGCATTATCCTGCAACAGAATGATGCTATGTGTCAACATTCCTGGGTGTTTGGATTTGATGGCATGCTTCAATTTTTGCAAAGTTTCTATGTACCGCTGTGCGTTAATTGTGGTGCCGTATTCCAGAAAGTCAACAAGCAGTGGACCTCCACAGTGATGTTGGATGCACACACGACTCGCCAACCTCATTTCGAGCACATCTAACAGACAAATGGCACAGCGGTGAACATTCACACTGTTCCTCCCTGATTCCCAATAGAGGGCACTTCTATATACACATCTACCTGCATTACCAACTTCTGTGCCACACTTGTTATATAGTTTGTCTCGTTTTCATTTGACTGTCCCTAATATAAGACGCATCCCATTTCAACAGTAGTTTTTGGAGGGAAGTGCATCTTATACTCCAACAAATATGGCATATTTCTGTCTTTTCCAAAAAATTGTGTACAAATTAATTCAATATGAGCCAGCACACTAAAATTTCTATTGGTAATAGACAATTATGTTGTTGGAATCCTTTACTATTATGTTTATGAACTCTGTCTGTTTTAGAGTAACTAGTTTATATAATTTTCTGGCCTAACTTCTTACTTATTAAAATGTAATTTAATAAGTACAAAATATCATAATTGTTATATTTAATATCAACAAATCACTGATGTGAACATTGAAAATAAAGACTAGTTCTCATCTATGAAAAAATAGACAAAAACTATAACAGAAACAGAAAAACTATTTCCAAGCACAAAACTGATACAAAAAAGCATATATATCACTTGCATAAAATGTGATGGTAAACAGAAAATGAAAAAATTTTGTTTGTTGATTTTGTTTTCTGAAAATATAGAATGTTTCTTTTGCAATAAACAGAAATTTGAATAACATCTACTATTGATGCTTTGGAATGACATCATAATTTTAAGATGCACAGTAGTATGGATTGACACCAAATTGTTTGCTAGTCATGATAACATTACATTCTCAATTCTTCCTCTTTATGCACTTTTTTCAAAAGCCTTACTAAATATCTTAAAGCTTTCTAATACAGCAATTTGTGTTTTGTGTGTGATTTCATAGTCTGCCATGTTGATCTGTGATGTAACAACTATTTTTGTTTTCTGTTTGTTTTTGACATTAACACAACAGAAATGTTAAAACATTTTTTTAAATTAATTTTCTGGGCTTTTTTGCATTATGGAACAAAATTTTTTTGTTTCTGTAGCAAATGGAATCAGAGTTTCACAATTTTGAGTAAGCAAGTCCTCACATAATGTTGTTTCATTTAATGTGATTTTGTTGAGGAAAGATAAAAGCACATTTATAATCATTTGCAATTATTGTCATTGAATTTTCTTAATAAACTGTAAAATTGATTCTATGAGGTGGGAGATAAATGCTGGAAGTTGCAAACATGATCCAATAAGAGTAATAACTTAATTAACTTAGATCTTGTTTATATCATTTAGCCTGTGGTAAAATTGGTGTCATCATATGCCTTTTTGTTTAATGTTGAGTTTCTAAGAACTTATTAATGATATTAAGTGAGGACTTTCTGTATTTTTATTCCTACTCATTATTTTGCTGCATTAGTTCACTAGATTAATTAAAGCTTATCTCACTAGCTTTTCAGTGAGATAAGCTGGGTGGTGTGCATGTTGAAAAGGTCTTGGAAAGAATACATGTACACAACCAATATAAATAAGATGATGGTTTAATACAAGGATAAGGATTTGTAGATAGATAAGAAAAGATAATACTGTGGAATGATATCAATGATAAAATAATAAATTTGAATATGTTGTTGTAATATGTCTTTGCACATCATGCTAAATAATAATCAAACTAAATAGTTATATTGAATATTAGCTTACTAGAAGTTGTATTAGAGAAAATATTATGAACTACAATCAGTTTAATAATAAAATAATAAAACAGTGTTAAAACACATAAAATAATACACTTTCACTATTAATTTTAATTCTAATTTTATGTTTATATGAAAGTTGTTTATAATAATATATTGTAGAAGGCAAAAATCCAAATTCTTGGTTTCATAAAGAAGCATCCAACCAAAAGAAATTAAACTAGTCAGTCATAGAAATTTGTAACTTTATTCATTTTTCTTAACTTATGATATGTTTTGACCATACAGATTTCTGTAGTCCTCATCAGACTATACTAAAAAAAGTTTTTTGAATAAGTTACAAAAATAACATTTTTTAACAGCATCAAGTTACTTACTAAAGCAATGTTAACACCATATTATAAAATATTTATTTATAGTGTCATTTTACAGTTTTTCAGCCATAATTAAAATTATTTTAAAGTGCTATAAAGTTACAAAAGTATATTAAAAATGCATTTCATTACTAATATAACCAAATAATTATTTTCACCTTTAAAAGCCTTTACAAAGCATAAAAATTATTAAAAATAATGATTAATAAGTAGGTAATTCTTAAATACAATGATTATAATAGAAAATATCCTATAATTTATTTTCAAAATGCCACTACACGTACAATAAAAATTATTATAACAACAATAGTCAAGACCTCATGATAAAATAATTTTTTTGCTTCAATCCTCCTCTGTTCTCTTTTTCATACTTTTTTTTCTTTTGTTCTCCTTTTGCATCAAGTATGGTTAGTAATCCAAAGCATACACACAAACAGTTTCAAGTAATAATTTTTAGACAAAATATTTTGAATTATACATAATTTGAAAAAAACTACATATTTTCAAAATATTTTTTATTACAATACATTAAAATTTCACTTTAAAAAATTACTTAATATTTGCAGTTTTTATTTGTATATAAACCGTAAATTCCCATAAAGGAAAGTTATTTAATAACATTCTTTTATAGGGATAAATGCTTGAATGAGGTTAAATTTAATAAAAAAATCAATATTTATAATTAGAGACTGGACTTGGTAGCAATTGTTACTTTTTTCTGCTCAGAAATATTGCTTTCCAAATAATGTATTTTTACTTGACATAACATTAGAGTCCTCCTAAATAAATTCTGTTTTGCTATTTTATTATTACTTTTGATTAGGCCTACTTTTCATCTTTTAGACACATTTTGTTATTGTATTCCAAATGTAACTCTTGCAACAAAAAGAATGTTATCAACACATCTGCTAATTTTATTGGAGGATGATCAATAAATAACATTATCTGCACTGCTATTATATTCTAAATCTGGATATTACTTATTATACTTAAAAAAATCCAGCATATTATTATTACATGTGATATGCATAAATGATAAAATATTTGTCATTAGGATACATTGATTTATACTGATACTAACCTCCTCAAAAGGCCAAGATATTTTTAAAACCAATATCATGAGCTCTTCAGAAGTTCTCATTTACTTGCTGTTCAGATTGCAACAAGTTAGGTGTAACATTTCCAAACCACAGTAGTTTAGAGCCACTCCTGTAATTGTTATGCTGTTTGCCTCTAAATAAATGTTTAGATTGCTATTTGAATGCCATGTTATATTGCAGAAAATTTCCCTGCTTCATTCTGTCAAATCAATGTAAAATTTCTTTAAATATCATTATTCAAAGTTGAAAGCTGTAGTATGCATAAATATCTTTAAAGCCATATAGCATACTTATATTTATCATGTGTGCTTAAAAGGTTTACCATCCCTATTATAGGGGAAGGTGTTGTATCTTGACCTTTTGACAAAATAAATATTTACAAAGACTAAAATTATTTTTCCTTAATTTCTTGTGTCTAAAATTTAGGTTATGTTTTTAGTCTATTATTAAAAAAAGTGATTTGATTTTTTTAAACAATAATTTCAAAAGTAAATTAGTTTCTTGTTAATCACTGTAATTGGTCTAATATTGTGCATCAGACCACAGGATATTGCACTTTGGACCACATTTACATTATTATAAAATAATATTTTTTACCTACTTCTTTGAAGTTGATGAAACAAAATGTTTCATATTTCAATTTTAAACAAAATTAACTCAAGATGGGTAAAAATTTATATTTTAACAGATACTGTGACATTTTAAATTTGCAGATACTTTATTAAAATAACATCGTCCATCACTCATTTTTAAATTTTAAAATTAAAATTAATGTGAAAATCAGTGGAAATTAATCTTAAAATGATAAATTTTTCAAATGCTAATTGTTAGATACTTAAACTCCAGCATTCACAAATGTTGAAGAAACAGTTATTATTCCCACCTGTCTTCTGTGAGAATAAAACAGGACACTGGCATATAGTTATTTGTGATATTGGCTAATAATATTTATTAATATTAATAAAATAAAATAATACATTAATTCTGATGAATTTAAAATGATTTTCAAACTGATTTGGTATCTGATAATAAATATCCCATTTTTACTGAAATCAATTTTGTTGAAATTCAGTTAACCAATTAAGAAGTCTTAGTTTCTGCCAGACCTCCTTATTACATCCAAAACCTCTGTTACTTACTGTTTCTTGAATTTTTTTTTCTTTCAACTTTACTAGAATAAAATTTACTTTTGTCACTTCTAGCTCTATGTAATGTGATAAAAAAAAAAAAAAAAAAAAAAAAAACAGACATGCATGCTGGTGGTATGCTCTTTACAGCTCAGAGATACTGAAAAATGCTCAATGTTTCTGTCATACCCCAATGCAACAGTGACAATGCTTTGAGTTAAATATATTAGACACTATTCCACTCAAACCAATTGAATCTGAAAGGGCATTCTTGGTAGCAGGACTTCTCATTACTTAAATAAGAATCNTCTTCTCTTACATTCATTAAAGACGATTCCACCCACATCGATTGAATCGGAATCAGGACTTTTAATTGCTAAAAAGATTGAACGATCGGAGTATTGACCATTTTTGTTTCTTAAAATCTTAATACAAATTATTATTGTAAATTTTTATAATATGTTTTATTTAAATAATGAAAATTACCTTCTAACTTAGAAGTTTGATCCGTTTTTTTTCAACTCAATTCAAAGCATTTTTGTTGTTTCAGTTTCCAGCAAACTTTAATAAAGTTTTTCAATTTGTGAAAATTTCTACATAATTCAAAGGTAATTTTTAATATATATCTTACACAGCATTATTAACATGACTTTAGAGGTTGCAGAACGTGTTAAATTACTTTAAAAAATGGAAAATAATGATATCATTTGATTTCAAGATATTTTGTATATCTTAAAAATAATTAATTCTATCCCGGGATCTGGGAAACAGTTCACTTTTTTCCCGAAATCCCGGGACAAGCAAAAGACCGGGAAATGAAAAACCCTAAATACCTGCAATGAAGTTTCTAAGAAAAGCGATTACGAGCTTGATGTAGCCATTGTGTTTGTGTATTGGTAAATAAATATGTTGATTTTCTTTTGTGTATTCAGTATACTATATTGAACAAAATGGTTATGCGGCCCGCGCTTGTCATTTTCTCAATTATCTGGCACGCTGTGAAAAAAGTTTGGTGACCCCTGCTCTAAGGGGTACGCATACAACACTAAAAAATACTGGCGTAGCGGTCTGTTTCTATCGAGGTATCTCTACATTTTTAAATATAGAGTCCTTTCTACATTATGATTATTATATACAGTATACAGTATTTGCAATACTAAATGTAAACATTAGTTTACAATTGCAATTGCTTTACTTTTTAATTAATTTATTTTTATTTAGTTTATAGTTTTTATATTTTGTTTTTTGTTGCATTCTTAATTGGTTTTGTATTTTATCCTTCATTGGGTCTGTTTTTAGTAGGGTTTATTCTATTTACACATTATACTAAATTTTATGGTCTGTCATCAACAAGCAGAAATGCCAATGTCATGTACAGTACACTACTTTCGGAGATAATTTTACTTATATATTCAGTTGGTAGTGCCATAAAGCATAAGAATAATCTCATGCTTTATGGCATTACCAACTGTATCATGTATAATGTATAAATAGTATATCTAGAAATCTGAATTTTAATGGCCATAGTCGTCAGAGGTTTACTTTGCTGTCCGATTCAAAATTCATTATTTTTCAAAATAAATGAATGACTAAAAACGCGTAAAAGATTAAACGTTTTTTTGCTGTAAACTAGATTTATTCTCTTAAACGTTAAGTACAATTATCTGAACTGTTTCATTAACTGAAGTCACTCTTATCGAGATTAATTCGGATGATATATGTTCACTCGCTCTGCATTTGAACATCCTCACTATACCGCCATAGTAGTTTCTCGGCTACAGCATGACAGCGAACGTAAAGTAAGTAGTGGGGAGTGCCATTTGTAGTCTTTGTTTACGTTATGGGGTTTACACTACCCACTTATAAAATTAAATATAATATTTTTAGTCGTTTGTTTAAGTTAGCCAAATATATTAATCCGATCCTGATGTCTGTTAAAATAAATTTCAAAGTTTAATTCTTTTCATTTTTTAAAATAACACGGAAAGTCAAATGTATAAAGCATTAGGATTTTTCTTAATAAGAAAAAACGACGGTTGATAAAGGAAATTGCGCTGTAATCGTCTTCGTTTTAATAGGACCAAAAAAATAAAAAAATGATTTAGAATTTCTGATAACACTTGTGAAAAAGTGATATTTTAATTTCACCAACACAACAACGGTATTAATATACTGGGTTTTTTTTTACAGATTCGAAATACAAAAAAAGTGTACAGTCATCGCTCGCTTCTTCTTGCCGGACTCGAAGACAAGAAATGGTACCACGCATCACATTCTGAGAATTTATCCGAGAAATCGGTGTCTATCGCTAAAATATTTACGTCATTTAATAAGAGAGAGATCGGGGAACGAAACACGTTCTCCGTTAGAGTCGTAGAATAGATATAAATACGCGCATTTTCACATCCGTAACAAAATTCGTTCACTTCGAGTAATTTATATAGCACGCTTATACTGTAGAGTAAGAAAACTAATAATTACCAATTCTGCCTTCAGTCCTATTATATACATATACATAAATATATATATATATAAATTATGGAGAAAGTGTTAGAGGATAGACTAAAATCAAAATATATCTTAATGAGTCGTTATCGCAAAGAAAAAGAAAAAATTCGTGGTCACTGCCAGGCATCTCACTATTTACTGTCTCGTTTTAATAACTAAATCTCGATGAACGTTTTCGACGCTTCCTTTTACTATTCTTTTTATCTATGAAAACTAAGGTCTTCCGAGTTTTTTTAGAAAATTTACAAAACGGACCAAATTTTATTTTTACTTGTCTACGGTAGTCGGTATTTTATTTACTCGGAACATCGTTCTACCTCCATTTAACCGACTCATCTAACTAACCAATGTATTTCTGATGTTTTCAATTTTTAAATATCGGCTAACCGTTCCTTCTGACAGAATAGTACTTAGTCTAATCGTGTGGTATGACATTTTAATATCAAAATTCTTCTTTCCAACCATCGAATTTTCTAACGTTCGTCTTTAAATTTTATAAATTTTGAAATACTTTTACGAATAATTTAAGAAGACAACAAAACTTTGTTTTTTTTTTTTTAGAAACTAGCACAAATTCAAAAGTAATTCCAAACCATTTTTCGAATATAAGAACGTTTCGCTCCGAGACGTCGAAGACGAACCGCATTCGTTTATATACATATATACATACATACATTTTTATTATTATTTTTCGATCAATTTATGTAAAAATGTTTTATAGCTTTTGTATTTTCGCTTTCTCGATCTTCGCGTTCTATATTTTGTATTTAGTACGAGAAAATTTATAGTTTATCGCGATCGCACTCGCGTTTAAATTCGCTCCGACGAATTTCGCCGAAGTTCGTCACGAAATTGCTCGCGATCGCCGATTCGAATCGAAATGCGTTCAGTCCGTGCGATTTTCGAGTTCGGTCGTCGCTGTTTTCATTTTTACCCGCTCCATCGACCATACGCACCCAGGACGATCCCCACTTCCGTGTAACGCGCACGTGGTATATTAGTATTCTCTGGTACGACGAATCGGATGTCGATAGGCGATCGGTCATCGATATTACTCTAATACCTTTTTTTACTTGCGCTTTACGCCGAAGAAAGGATCGTGCCTTAGCGCAAAGCGATGGTGTTCGAAGTTATTCGGCGATCCGAACGAAAAATCTCGTTTTCTTGGGGCGACCTCCGGACCGAAATCTCGCTCTTTTTCCCCCCTTTACGTTTCGAACGAGATTTGTAAAAAAAGCGACCGTCGTTGCGCTCTCGAAGCGAAACGAGACGGAAGGGATCCGCGTTTCCGAAGGCTGAATATCGTAAAACGTTTACTTCCTGCGGAAACGAGACGTTTCGTCCGGGAAAAACGTTTCTGTGATGAACGAAAATTGTGTATATGATCGAATTCTGTTAGAAAAATTTCCGGTAATTATAATTTATCTATTGCCTGTTACTAAATTATTAAATATAAACATTACCAATAAAAATAAGCAGTTACATTAAAGTCTTTTGTCCAGTGTACTTTATTTCCTTCCCTTTCACCGTCGCGGTTTGCGCTTTTTACAATAACCATATGGCGGGATTCGATTAACGACAAATTCGAAAGACCATACCGATATAATGGAAAACGATCGATGAAAATTGAATTCGTAAAATTTCCTATTACATGTATAAAACATATAAAGGTAAATATTTTTAATCTTATTCGTTATGTATAAGAAGTATTGTTATTTTTCTCTTAACACCTTTAGTTCCCAGCAATTTTTGTTTTTAAGATACGGCGCGAAAATATACATTATATGCCGAATTCGTCTCGTCACATCCTTTATATTTTGACACGGTCTAAAGATAATCGACGACCGGCTTCACCAAAACATTTTTGTAACGATTTGAGAATTCTCGGTCTGGTGGGAATCCTTGTTCGTCAGCTATTTTCGGGGAGCAAGAAATTCTTAACATTAAAAATAAGAACTATACGAAATTTGTTGGACGCTAAAATATAATTTGTATTATTACATGTATTTTTAGGAAATCTATTAATACTTGTGATAATTTGTTAAATGCCAAAACAACGCGTTTATTTTTGTTTAATTAAAATGCCTCAATGTCCTTTTCTTACTAAATTATAAGCCCTGATAATAGTGAATGCTTGTTTATAGACGAAAATTTATAATTTAGTAAGAAAAGGACATTGAGGCATTTTAATTAAACTATAATTTTAATAATGATTTTAGCCGAAATTCTGGTGTATCAGAAGTTGCAGAGAACAGAAAACATGGAGCAGGTATATTAAATATTAAATAAAAATTGTTTTCTGTAAAACTCTGTATAGTCTGTTAAGCCAGTGTAATAAGTCCTGATAATAGTGAATGCTTGTTTATAGAGGAAAATTTATAATTTCGTTTATTTTTGTCCTTACGACTACGTTAAAAAAATCGGCATCGAGTTGTGTAACTTTCCCGGCAAAAATTTAAACTTTGGTGGTGCCATCTGTTATTTTAAAAACTTATACAGTATAATCTCGAAAACTCGGCCTAATGTGGACCGAAGGGTGGCAGAGTTTGTGAAAATGACGGGTTATCGGGAATGGGGTTTAAAAAAATAAGTATGAGTGTTTCCTCAGAAAATACTGTACTGTCCTTGTATGTATTGTTTACTTGAGAATACAACAGAGAATAAACTGCCCAAATACCCTTAAACAAGGGAAAAGTACGTCCTTTATGAAGGCATAGAGCCTTTACTATCAATACATGAAAATGAAAATTAATGAATACACTGTGTACAGTAATTTACCTGATAAGAGGAACCTCAGAAAAATACTTTATGAGGCATAAAGCTGTTTATAATGAAAATTAATTAACTAAGCATTTTTTTTCCCAGCCAGGGTGTGGCCGAGTTTTCGAGACTACTGTATTTGTTAATTATAAAATGGCAAAAAGCTTAACTTGGATGCTAGAGATGAGTTTTGTAAACAGGGTTCCTACTCACCTGGAAAGTCAGAAAATTTTCCTCCTTTGCTGTATTGACTTTTTGCTTACAATATGCTTGACTAAGTGTAGCTGCTGCAGGCAGCAAGAAGTAAAGTGGTACAATACGACTTATGAAAAGGGATGCAGAATATTTTCCGGACCGAGCATACACAAAATTTACAAAGTACAAAAAATGACAAATAATTTAAATGTTATCATTTTTCATTTTAATAATTTTGATATTAATAAACTGGAAAAAAATCAAAATTTATTAATATTTTATGATGTTCAAGAAATTTATTAAGGGTAAACTTAATAAATACAGTAGAGCGTCGTTTATCCGAAAGCTGGTTATCCGAAACGTCCGTTATCCGAAAGCATTCCAGTCGGCAAATTTAAATTTTCGCTAGTGCTGTGGCGCTGCAATCTTCGGCTATTTCTCGGGCTACTCAAATATTTTACGTTTTTTATACTAAATTAACATC